ATTGACTTTTTTTATTTGATCAATTAAAATTGAAACTTTACAAATGATGGAGAGGTTAAGAATAAGCCTCCAGAAAATTGTACGTCAAAAAAGACGATGGTAGTCTAAAAACTGCAAGTATTTTAAAGTTTTGGATGGTAGTCACTGGATCTATTGTTGAATTTTTCCATTCTTATACAGTTTTCCCGACCAATTTCAGATGAAGAAAAATCATTTCGAAAGTTGCAATGAAAACAAAGAAGTTGACAAAAGTAATCCACACAAATTGCACCGCAACCAGCTTCAGAAGTTTTGCTTGTCTTCTTGTAAGCTAAGCTAGTTTGAACTAATTCAAAAACCTAATTTCATTTAAGCGTTTCTTAAAATTGTTGATAAAAAGGCGTTAAATTTTTGGAGGCTAAGCAATCTGAAATAGAAAACTAATACTGATACTGAGATCTCAAAATGTACTTTATAAAAATTAAATAAAGTTAGTCTACTCAGTATTTGGTTTGAATGGTCACGTTTTTGAGCCATAAACAGAAAAATTGCTCTTAGTGAAATACCAAAAAACTGAAAAAAATAAACTGAAAAAACTGGATAGTTAAATTGCTTTCATTTTTTTACCAGTTTTTTTGATCAAATCACAAAAAAGCAACAGATGTCATCGCTAGTTCAAATTACTAGCAAAAATGACATCTTCGACATCTTCAGTATGTATTATCGAAAGATGTAAAACAACAAAATATACAGCATGGAGTTAGAAAAAATTATAACTCGAGACCATTTTAGACTTTTTTAGGGAAAAATTGTAAAACAAAAACATTTTTCTATTGTAGGAAGAGAAATTGTGACTATTTCTCAAACAAAAGGGACCTAATTTTTCTAATTGATAGTTTTAATTGATGTAATTGTGTTAATTTTCAAAGAGAATGTCTTACAGTTTGTTCTTTATAATAACAATTTATCTTTTTTATTGGCTTTTATTTGAAGCCTCGGGAAAATTATATTTTGTACATTGTGCTCAGAGCGAGTTTGAAAGATAAGGAATTTGATTTAAGTGAAAATAAAAGATTGCATTTTATTCTTCAAATATTATTCTTAAAATTGATTCCGAATTTTGTTCAAGAGAGTAAGACAGCATAAGAAAAATCTGTCAAAATACATTATTTGATTTAAATAACAAAACTAATTAAAACGTTAACTGGTGTTTTCAGAATTTATCAACTAATATTGAAATTTTATAATGATGAAGAGGTTAAGAATCAGCCTCAAGAAAATGGTACGACAAAAAAGATCACAGTAGTCTAGAATCTGCAACGTTTTTAAATAATTTTATTGTCAGTAGATCTATGGTTGAATTTTCACATTCCTTAGCTAAAATTTAGATTTTTCCCGACCAATTTCAAAGGGAAATAACGTTTCGAAATTTCTTTTTCAACTGTTGCTATAAAAACAAGAATGTTGACAAAAAACATCAAAAAAAATTGAGGGCTACAGTTTCACAAAATTTTTCTAGCGTTTTCTTAGGTTAAACTAGTTGAAAAACTGAATTTCATCTACGCGTTTCATTAACATTGTCGATAAAAATGGGTTGAGTTTGGGAGCCTAAAAAGTTTTAATAATAAGTTAGAATGTTATTAATGATACTGAGAGCTCAAAATGTACTTAATTAAAACTTAATCACTTTTTTCTGCTCGGTAATTGATTTGAATCGTCACGTTTTTGAGTTATAAACAGAAAATTGCTCTGATTGAAACATTAAAAAAATGAAAAAAAGGCTAGTTAACTTGCTTTTAGTTTTCATATCATTTTATTAATCCAAAACACAAAAAAGCAACAGATGTCATCGCTTATTCAAATTAGTAACAAAAATAACATCTTCAACATTTTCAATATTTATTACCGAAAATTATGAAAACTTAAAATACTCACCATGTTATTAGAAGAAGTTATAACTCGAGACCTTCTCAGAAAAATTGATACAAAATGAAGTTTCAATTATAGAAAAAGCATTTGTGAGTGCCGAAATACACTATTTGATTTAAATGACAGCACTATTGAAAACGTTATTTGAATTTTTTCATTGTCATCAAGCAAGAAAACAAGAAGGATTTATGTCTCAGTTTCACGATTGAAATTTTGATATAATGAAAAAATACAAAAATGTTAAATACTGTAAAATCTAGGTTTTTGCTTATTTTCAAAGAAAAAATAAAAAATAATCTTTTTGTAATAATCTTATGTAATTGATTCTAATGGATTAAAAATTCATTGAAAATCAAACAAAGTAGAAATCAAGTTAGTTTTTGCGTTGTTTGACTTTTAATTGACTTTTTATCCATTAGAATCGATTATTTTAGAGTTTTGCAAAGATACCATTGAAATCATTTTTAACTGATTGTTGTTCATGGAATCTCCTTGCAGGTGGAAGCAACAACACTGCTTGAAAAACTTCGAAACCCTAAAGATTCTGCTCGCTCAGGAACTTTTATCCATCATTTCGTTTAAAAATATAGAATAAATTAGAACTTTTTAAGACTTTTATTGCTTCCCTAAACCTTTTTTTGTAAAAGTTTGAGATCATTTTCATGAAACTTTTTTCTCTGACTACATTGTCACATACAATGTGCTGCATGTTCCTTCTACTAAAACAAAAGCAAAGGCGGAAATACAGGATGAAACTTTGCATGTATTTCGTTCACACTGTGGGTGCTTTGTCGTCTCTCATCACAAATAACAATCAGACTACAACGCAAACAAGGATAGAAGGTTACTGTGCAAGTAGCACAGAATGTTCCGACCATGGTCTTTAGAAAATTAAGGTTTAGAAAGTTATTTCCAATTTAGTGTACTTTTTTCTGCTTGATATGATAAAAAAATCTTATGTAGAAATATAATTTAGACATATAAGACAGTTATCGTAATTTGCAAATTGGACAAAAATTTGTTAAAAAAATGACTCTTTGAAAACTTTGACTTTTTTGAAGTTTTTATTTCCAAAAAGAAGCTGAAAAACTCCAAAAACATGTTTTACATGCTTAAAATAAAGTTTTAAGGTCTTAGATTAGGCATACTTTAGCTGTTGTAAGCCTGCTCACTCGCCCTATTCGCTCGAAATAAGACTAAAAATCAAAAATTTCAAACCGATTTTTCTCTACACTGGGAATATGGTTCGAATCACGACTGAACTAGATCGGGCCTTAATTTGATATATCACTCGACACAGTCCAGTGACTATTTGTAGTACCTGATTTTGCCGGGAAAACAAAAATAAAAAAACTAAAACGCACCCGAATACAAAGTTCCTCTCCATTTTCAATGGTCGGAACAACTAGAGTTCTCGGTTGCTCTGCAATTGTTAAAAAATAATCCAAACACAAATTGAAAAAATTTCGGCCTTGGCGGAAAATGTTTTAAAAATGAAAATGTTTACAGCAAAAAACACTTCCAGGATTTGTAAGGTTGTTTTTCAGCGAATGCTTGAAAGACTTTATTTTAGCAAAGATATAGCGCAAGGAAAGTCAAACTAATAGATAACCGATCGTTCTGCAAGATAGTAGAAATCCGTCATGCTTTGTCGATATTGTGTGAATATCATACTAAGTAACAATTTTTTAAAATAGTCTACAAATCAAAAAATTTGCATTCTACTGAACTTTAAAACCCTTTGTACACTTTTCTCCAGTTTGATAGTTGAACACTATTGGTAGTGCTAAAATCAGGGGCGGATTTAGGGGAGGGACGCCCTCTTCCCCTCAGGGATTCGATCCCCTGCCAACCCAAAGGGTCCCCCTTTGTTACTTTTTAGGAAATCCATTTTTGGCCGACTGACCCTAAAATTTTTCTAAAGGTGCCTTGGGCGCCAATATATACTAGCTTTGATGGGGATCGCGCGCCAAAAGAGCGCATTTTTTTTGTCAAAATTTTCCAAAAAGTGCCCAAAAACGGCTTTTTTGACGTGTTTTTTCAAAAACTCGTCTGCGGCGCAGAAAATTTGGCCAGAACAGCGTCTTTTTACTGCTTTAGGAGAGCTCTTAAAATCAATTTGGTCGACCTATAAGAAAAAAAGGTCGTCAAAATTTTTTGAAAATCCGCCGCCCCCCCTCGAGAAAATCCTAGATCCGCCCCTGGCTAAATTGACAACCGCTTACTCATACTCGTCAGTAACTAATCCAATAGTATGTCAACCAATCAGAACTGAGAAAAAATAAACGTACGGAATCAATAAATAATAATTTGGTATGTTTGCTTGTTATTTCGAAAATAATTAGTTAATATAGTATTTTGCTACTTACAGATAATATGTTAACGAAGAGAAAGAAGACGAGGCTGTTTATTTACAAGACAACATTCCAATACCCTCTCTAAAAACGATTTAACTTTCATCACTAGTATTTAACGCGATTAGTAACTCTTAGAACTAATTTTTAATATCGGAGTCTACCGAGACTAAAGAAATGTGAGAAAAAAAAAACAAATTTCTTTTTTGTTCCTAGTTTTGCGAGAAAGAAAAACTGGAACAAAATTTTTTCTAGATTTCGTTGGCAGAACAAAAAAATTATGACTTTTCAAAAAACTATTATTTAAAAACTCTTTTTTTTCCCGCAGAAACTTTATTTTTAAACTTTTCGCAAAAGAATTTTTTGAAGTAGTTAAAACGCATTTGTTTTGGCAAAAGTTTGCAATATTTGTGATTAAATGAACAAAAACTAGGAAACTGTTTCACACTTAAAATAAGAATTTTTTTTTTTCATTTTTAACGATGATTTAAGGAATTAGCATAAAATGAATAATTTACTTTTTTATGGCAAAGAATTTATGATATGATAGCGTAATTCATATTTGAAAAATCCAAATGGTATTTGATTTTGTTTCATGAGATTTCGTATTTTCCTTTCCTCCGTTTTCGCTGCTCAGTTTTTAATGGGTTTTTATCAATTATTCACTAATTTCAATAGCACTTTACGCGAAGCTGCGCCGAAGTTTGAGGTGAATTATTTAAATTGAGCAGGTGTTTTTGATCATAAATGAACTGTTGAGCGTTTGAATTATACATTCTTTTTTGATTAGTTGTTGTTGCTTCAAATTCGCTGGTAATTTTCTGTTCTTGCCGTATGTTGAAGTATCAAAAATTAGGTCTCTAAAACCTGGATCAACCGCATAAAATTTTGATACAGAGAAATCTGTGGACGCTTTGCTTGGTAGAAAATCAAAGTGTTTTGAGAGTTCTAACAAAAAAAACTGAAATATTGAAAAGTCGCGGCGATTCTGTGTTTTTTTGCGCAAAAAGTGATTTATATCAAACTTATCTCAGACATTTGATTCGACTCAGACAATCGAATTATTTACATGGACAACATCTGACTTGAGTTCTGTTCCTGTCATTCCATTCAACACGCTGTTCATTACCAGGAACTCGATTATCAAACCAAAACTAAAAGGGGCGATTTTGGCTCTTTGGTTGGATTGTCAAACTCATACAAGCGATCTAGAACAAGGATAACACAGAAGAAGGATCAAAAGAATAGTTTCAAAGAGCAGAATAACAATTGATTGCCGCAGACATGCACCTGTACACTGCTATAGTGATCTGCATTGTGTTCGTCTGTCTAATGAGCGTGGTGATTGTGAATGAGACCATCTCTGTGATCGAAGTCCTCTCCACTCTCGTGTCCTCAGTCGAGATCCTCTCACTCTCCGGACCACATAGATACTCCAGTCAGTCAGATAACCCAACTTATTCCAACCCTTTTTTAAAATTATTTCATCAAAAAACTCAGCTAATTAAAATAATTCTGGTTGGAAGAGGGTGATTATTTTCTGCGAGATCTTGCGAGATAGAGCTTTTATTGTAAAAATATTGAAAAAGATTGTTATCTAGCAGTATGTTTCAAGAGATGCGTTATCTTATCCAGAATCTTCTAAGATTCTTGCAAGATCTGCCAGATAATACTATCCTTGATCGACATGGGAATTCAGGACTTGATTTAGATTGTGGCTGTGAGGGTCTGCCTATAGTTTGTCCAATAACTTGATTTAAAGCTGATATATCCCATGATAGGTTTTACGTTTTGAGGAGTTGGATCTCAGAATTTTCTAGCATCTTGTTTGTGGGGAAGGGATTTTAAGTGCTACACAAACTTTCTCAAACTCATTATCAGCAGCTCCTTCTTTGAACATTTTAAGCTAATTCGATATTTAAAATTGTATCATAATCGATTATTTTCAATTTTTAAAAATGCATTGTAATCGATTATTTTCAATATTTAAAAATGAATTATAATCGATTATTTTCAATATTTAAAAATGCATCATAATCGTTTATTTTCAATATTTAAAACTACAACATAGTCGATTATTTTCAATTTTTAAAAATGCTTTATAACCGATTATTTTCAATATTTAAAAAAGCATTGTAATTGATTATTTCAATATTTAAAAATACACTATCATTGATTATTTTCAATATTTAAATATCCAAAATAATCAATTATTTTCAATATTTAGAAATGTATCATAATCGATTATTTTCAATATGTAAAAGTCGATCATAATCGATTATTTTCAATATTTAAATATGCATCATAATTGATTGTTTTCAATATTTAAAAATCCAACATAAGTGATTATTTTCAATATTTAAAAATCCAATATAGTTGATTATACTCAATGTTTAAAATGCATCATAATTGATTATTTTCAATACTTAAAAAGGCATTGTAATTTATTGTTTTAATATTTAAAAATGCACCATAATTAATTATTTTAAATATTTAAATATCCAACATAATCGATTATTTTCAATACTTAGAAATGCATCATAATTGATTATTTTCAATACTTAAAAAGGCATTGTAATTGATTGTTTTAATATTTAAAAATGCACCATAATTAATTATTTTCAATATTTAAATATCTAACCTAATCGATTATTTTCAATATTTAGAAATGCATCATAATCGATTATTTTCAATATGTAAAAGTCGATCAAAACCGATTATTTTCAATATTTAAAAATGCATCATAATTGATTAATTTCAATATTTAAATATCCAACATAAGTGACTATTTTCAATATTTAAATATCCAGCGTAGTTGATTATACTCAATATTTAAAATGCATCATAATTGATTATTTTCAGTTTTTAAAAATGCACCATAGTTGGTTATTTTGAATATTTAATAGCCAACACATTTGATTTTTTTTAATATTTAGAAATCCAACATAAGAGATTATTTTCAATATTTAAAAGTCCAGCATAGTTGATTATATTCAATATTTAAAAATGCATCATAACTGATTATTTCCAGTTTTTAAAAATGCACCATCGTTGGTTATTTTCAATATTTAAATATCCAACACATTTGATTATTTTCAATATTTAAAAATCCAACATAAGAGATTATTTTCAATATTTAAAAATCCAGCATAGTTGATTATACTCAATATTTAAAATGCATCATAATTGATTATTTTCAGTTTTTAAAAATGCACCATAGTTGGTTATTTTGAATATTTAATAGCCAACACAATTGATTATTTTCAATATTTAAATATCCAACACATTTGATTATTTTCAATATTTAAAAATCCAACATAAGTGATTATTTTCAATATTTAAAAGTCCAACATAAGTGATTATTTATAGTATATCTGCAGAACGCAGTTCTCATTTGTTGTTTATTCTGCTGTGCCGCTGCTGTGTAGTGATTGGACTGAGTGGGATGTACCAGAATGAGAGTTCATTCAATGTGAGTGACATCTGCGACTGCAAAGTGGAGACAAGTAGAGACAGCACCAACTGCTCCCTCCTCACCCTCCTCCACCAGCCTCAGGGGGAGCAAGTGGCCGATGACCCCTCCCTCCACAGAATACTACTACTCACAGGTTAGTCACTCAACTTTCTCATTTATCCATCTCTTCTCACATTGTTAGATGAACTCGTGCTTTTTGTGTTATTGTGTTTTCTGAAGAGTTCGGAAATTTCAGTTATTTTTCTATCGGAAACTAAAAGCCGTTTTTTTTACTCAGTCTGATACTACTTTTTTGTTTCTATACACACTGGTTAGTCAGTCAATTTTTTCATTTTTTCATCTCTTCTTCTCAGACTTTTACATAAGTTCAGCAAAATAAAAAGATTTTTTTTATGGTGTTTTCGAGAAAAAAAAACGTTATTTTTGTACTACCTATTCACTGATTAGTCATGGTCAATTTCCGGAGATACTGATTCCGTTAGTAGCTTATTCACTTCAGTTATGCTTCTTCTATGAGAAGCGTGTATTTTTTGTTGGAAGTTAGGAAAAAAATGGGGAGTCAGGAAGCAATCGAGACTTAATTTAATTGGTTAAAACCAGTAAATTATATAACTTACCTTGTCAGATAATACATTTAATTTTATTTCAAACTTTTTTATATTTGAAATCAAAAGTATAATAGAAAAATGTGATCACGAGTGAAAGAAACACAAATACGACGAGCTATTTTTTCCTTATGGCAAATCGCCCAAATATTATTTTTCCTCAAAACCTATGGACAAAATTTCATATCTCAATTTTTTCCTACACGTTTTATTTGTACAAGGACCTCACTTAGAATTATAAAACAAGGAAGCTTAAATTATGGACATCAGAACTATGGACCAAATTCAGTTGATCATACTATCCACTATGGCTACTCGGAGAAAATGTGAGAAACATATATACAAATCAATAGAAGTGTTGTTTTGTAATGTTTGCTGTCTATTTTGTGTGTTCAGCTGGTCCTCGTGATTGGCAGCAGCGGGAGTCGGTGGTGTTCGAGTGTCTCCACTCGTTCGTGCCCCTCATTACCTACTTCGTCATGCCCCAGGACTACCAGGCCATACAGGACACTGTGCAGTCCAACAAGTGAGTCATTTAGAATCACTTTTCAGAGACACACCTGAAAAGGGATCTGCTGATCCAATAATGACAACCCAGGCAGTTCTAATTTTACTTATGTCATTTTAGGAATATTTGTTTAGTTTCTGCCTGAAAACAATACATTATTATGATTATTTAACATTTCAGATTAGATCTTTTATAATTAAGTACTCTTTATTATAAAAACGAAAAGATAAAAAACTATAACCCTAAAATACGACCTTTTAAATGTTTTCCTCCGGAAAATAGTGGAACCTGATCTAAACTACATTTTATGATTGGATAAATTAGATATTTTACCAATGTAAAGTATTTAATATTAACCAATCATGATCCATCTAACTAACAATCCACTTATTTGTAAGTGCTGAAATTACTTGTAATTTCAGCACCAGAGAGATTTGAATTTAACTTAGAAATTAGTTGAACTCTCCCGAGTACTTCAGCAGCCGCAATAAACCAGTATACCCTAGATCTATTGAGCCTAGCAGAGACTAGTTAAACAACCTGAGACTAGATAGTATAAGAGTAAGATTAGGATCGGTATTAGACTAAGAAGTTGCACGAATCTATCCGGCCGAAAATAAGATAGCGTGACGAGCAGACGGTGTACCCTATCCGAAATTACTCTATGAGTTATACCCATCGATTATAACTCATCTGGTGCGACCATAAGTCTCGAACAAGACCTTAATAGCTTAGCATTAACCAATAATAGATTAGAATTTAGACAAAACATTTACAAAATGTTATACGACAATAATTTAATCGAAATGTCTCTACGACTCAATAGATCAGAGCCAATATTCCGAACGATAACAGAACTACCCGGAATTGGAAGAAGACCTCGAACCAGAGACGACATACGACAAAGCAGAAACTTACCATATAGTTATATGATAGTTCGGCAAAAGCCAGAACAAACTTTTGTATTTAGAATACTACTAGCAATGAATTTAGATTTTCATTTGCAAACATAAAATTTTGAAGTCAATCTTCAAAATCATTTCAGGCGCTAAACAAAATTATTAATATACAATAACGATTGATAAAAAGATCTCAGATCGTTTTCCAAAATTCTGCAGTAATATAAAAAACATGTTTGAAAAATATTTATTGAAAAATCAAAATAAAAATTAGTAGCATGACAATAAATGATTAGTAATTATAAATCATCCTGTTGTTCCAGCTTCATCGCCTAAACATAACAGCAATCATAAGCTCACTAATATCATAAAATACTAAATCTATTCTTTACACAAATTTAAAAAATTTTAAACTTAAATTCACTTAATTTTAAAATCAGATCATCAAGGCTTATCCTTGGATCTTAAATCATTTTCTATTTAATTAAATTTAAAACTTGATCATCAAGGCCTATCCTTGGATCAAAAAGAACAACTTTGTTCTCCCCCACCCACTAAACGAGTGTCTAACGACCTCAAACGTCGATTCACTATCCAACCCTTTCTAAAAACCCAGAACTAATAGAAATTTTTGAACAAAACTAATCATTCAAATTAGGATAAACAGTGAAGAACTTCGGTTATTCATCCTTCACTTGATCCCCCCTCTTACCAGACCCAGGATAAATCTTAGACTTAGTAAGTTTAAAATAGTATCTAACGAACTACTCGCGTTCTAATTATACCTGAACCCTGTGGATCGATTTACTATTCTCCAACCCTGAACACAATCACTACCCTTAAGTAAGATTAAGTAAGTTAACACCTTAGCTTATACTAGCCACGAGAAAGTATAAAATCATTCTTCGGAATCGATATACTTTTCTCCCCAACCCTGAACAAATAGACCCAGGTTAGGCTAACAAAAAAATCGTAAGGACTAACAGTTTAAGCAAATAGAAATCATTTAACAACCTTTTGCATCCGTCATCCTAAACCTTATGTCATTTAAAAACCTAGGAAATAAACAAACAATCGTTTTACACAATTGTGAAATAAATAACAAAAAATACGACCTTGTAATCACACCTCATACACAAACAGTTGGATACATTAGAACAAAACGACAAACATTAAAGAGAAAAATAATAACTAAACAAAGACAAATAACACGAAAAAGATTTTCAAAAAATCGAAACGCATTTTCAGAATCAGAAACCAACAGTTTAGACGAACTTTATAAACTAAAAGAATCAATAGATAAAAATTGCCCAATTCACGATCAATTATATTTCTCTGACTCAGAAACAACTTCAAATTCATCAAAAAGAGGAAAAAGAAGAATAAAAAAGCAGTATAAACACAAACCAGTACATTTATACAATTGGAATCAACCAATTAGACACATTAATAATTACATATTAACAGTCATCGAACGAAAAAATGAGCTCAACGCACACCCCAGGTGAAGAAAGTCCAGATGATGATGATATTTTCCCCTTTATCGTAGATGCAACCACTGATAGAGGACAGCATATATTCTGCAAAAATTTACTCTTAAATTTGTTTGAACCCGGAATCAGTCCATGTAAAACAGAGTTCCCAGATGTAAAAATCAAAAGACAAATTATCGATCACTATCTAAAAGATATATGTAACCTAACACAACAATACGGAATCTACTCCATAGAATTCAGCTCACCAAACCAGAATCACAGTAAATATATAATTCAAACAGACGACCTTGATTTAGAATTCTCAAAAGTATTCTCAGAATATATAAAAAGCATCCAATATCATAACTCACAAAGAGCAAACTCCATATTCACCAATGAAGTTTTTGCGATAATATATAGTTATATCTCGATATTAGAAAACGAAATCCAGATACCAAATGTCTCACCGACAGAAACATCTAAACATATAAGAGTACGACATGAAATCACACTACTCTCTAGTTTTCTAAATATAATTAAAGAAAATTTCACGAAAGATGAAGTTTCACAACATACAAAACACGACTTACAAAAAATCTTGGCATGGTTCATAATAGATTATTTCACACATAATATTGATTTAATTTCACAAGCAAGAAAAAATTTTAGACCCCAAAACTCAAACGATGATACTGCCATCACAGAACAATCAGACTATGTTTGGGACCCCGAATGGTCTCATCCCGCATTCATAAACTTCCCACAATCAATCTCAAGTCAAGCAATAAGTACGATATCTTATGTAAGAGATTATGTACGAGTAATACCATTAACCATTGATGCAACACCATTAAACTATAATACATTTTTACCCGATATGCAAAATAATAGTTTAAACTCTACAGTCATACACAATGAAAACCTCAATGGAACTAGGAATCTTACTCAACAAGATATCCAGACACCATCACACTTCATAAATGAAGAAATCGTACACACAACAACTACACAACAAAGTATTTCACCAATACGTCCAAACTTAACAACACCAAGAAATACAAATTCTTCACAAACACAGGTAACATTACAATCAACCGTTAAACCTTCGGTTGCTCCAAAATATTCACACATGGATTACCAAACATACAGACCCATGACAATACCGCCAAAAACACGCAAAACGTTCACTAGAAACAACTTTGCAGACCATAATTATAATTACACACATCCATCAAAAACAAATTATCAACCACGAAAAAATTTTAGTAATTATACAAGATCTCGAAACTGGGATAACCCAATGGCACCACCTAATTCAGTAAATTTCCAAACAAATTTACATCCTCCACAGGATCGTAGTGAAAACTATCCATTTTTTCAACAAAATAAAAATAAAAAACAAACATCTTATCAAATGGATTACTTATCCTCAGATGATGATTTCTTACAACCAGATATATTTACACCCAATAATCAAGAATATCGTGGACAAGGAATACAGAAACCACATACATATCATAGAATTTTTTCTCCACAACCAATAGATACACAAATTCAACAACCAATTCAACAACAAAACCCAATTAATAAATCTTTTCAACCAATTCAGCAACAAAACCCAATGATTGCAAACTCGTACCAACCAGCACAAATGCAAAATGAAATACCACTCCCATATTATCTTCAACAACACGAAATAACAAGAAATCAACTTTCAAATTTTTCTCAAATGCCAAATGCAGCAGAATCATTACAAATGACGATGAATCCATACCTTATGGGTGGATCATCAATAACATCAAATAAACCTTTAATGGTATTCACAGGAACAGACCCTGAACATTCTGTAGAAGACTATTTAAATGCAGTCACAGCAAATTTGATTTTAAATATAGGACCTGAACCAATTAATACGCCACTACATCAAAACTGAATACATCGACGCACAGCGTTAATACAAACATTTCTAGATGGCGCAGCCCAAAAATGGTTTTCAGTATTGCCTATAGAAATAAAATCAAATTGGAAAAGATTTACACAAGAATTTTCAAAAATGTTTGACTCCGAAAGAAACAAACAACAACAAAGAGTTTTATGTAATGAAATTCGCAGTTACCAAACGAAGCCATCAAGCAATTAGCAGTACGAATCGAAACACTAGTTCGAAAAGCATATTCATTAAATACACATGACTATAAAAACACAAAGATGACAGAAATCTTAATGATGACCTTAACACCACAATTAAGGAAAATAGCAATAAAAAAGAGAGCATCCCATCCTTCGTCAATTCGAGAACCCGATTTAGATTTTCGAAAACTAGTAGACAAACTAGAACAAGCAGAAATCACAATGAAACTCGAAGAAACGGAAAATCTGAAATTACAATACGTTAACAGAATTGAAACAGCTTCCACAAATATAAACAATATACAGGAATCAGATACAGATCTCGTTGAAAAAATCACTGAAATACTCAATATTTACGAAAAACACCCAAACTTTAAAGGCAAACCATCTTTCAAAAAATGGTGTAATTATTGCCGACGATACGGACATAGTATTTCTGAATGTAGACAAAAACAGCAAGACAATCAAAATAAACCTCAAAAATATAAAGAACCAAATAAATCATTCTATCAAT